GCCTCTTGCCCTGGGAAGACTTACCGCTTGGCCGCTCTCCACAGGTATGCGAACATACTGACGACTGTATTTGGAAGGTGAAGCACCTGCAGCATCCGTTAGAGACCTGAGACAAAATACAGCTTCAGTACACAGTTCCGCAGTAAAAAGCTGTAGCAATGCCAAATACGTGCAGTAATGGAAGAACAATCATTCTTCCACTTCTAAGAAAACCGGCTTTTGGAAATGTTTTTTAGTCAGTGTACTGCGGGCAGGTTGCATTCTAAACACGCTTTTTGTTTTGGATAAGTCAGTCACGTTTGCACATCTTGGAAGAGTTACCATTTCTGACAACTGTACTCTTCAAAATTTAAAATGTATAGTATGTTCTCTTCCCACACATTTTTTTAGTGATAAAGAGGAGGGAATCTTTATTTCATGCTTTATTCAACTCCCATCGGCTTTCTCCAGTTTGAATATACAAGTGATAAAAATATTCTTCATACACTTTAAGAAAAGCATCTTGCTTCTAGAAGCTGATTTATCCCTATAATTGACATCTGACGCTGATTTGTGACCTATCCAGTAATTACCTTTTCCTTTTGACCCCAACAATATAATTTCCTCGCATCAAACTTAGTATAAATTGAAGAATCTAAAAAGGAAAAACAAAAAACCAAAATCAAGTGGTCAGCATAGCAATCCTAACGTTAAAGTATTAATTCAGATTTTACTACAAAATTATGTAGTTATGTGATTGAAAGTAATAGGTAAATTAAAAATCCAGTTGTGTTCATGTCTTAAAAAACAAAATGACAGTTACAAAGGCCATTGAAAAGTTATCCCCCTTGCACGGTTTTGTTTTGTTTTTCAAATGTAATAACATCACAAGTCACTAGAGGATTCCAGACCAGAAACAGCTAAGGGATAAACCAGAGAAAATGTGTTCCAGTGCAGAAGCTCCCATAGTTTCTGGGTTCCGAGTTGACTTCTTGAGTGGTCTAGGTCTGTCTTGGTCCAAGATCTTTCACAGACTCCATTCCATGTGCCTGCAATCTCTTGTTTTAGGCTCCTGTTACCATGCACTGCCTCCAGCCCCAGGTTTACCCCAGGTCAGCTCGATTTACTGATTTCTCTCCAAATAAGATTCACTGAGATTTCACACACAATGAAATCCCTTTTACTACGACTTTTCCTTACTATTTTCCTCGTGATTCTTTGCTGTGCTACTTCTGGGACACTCAGGAACTGTGAACATTTTCTTTATGCTGTATTAATATAGCCTGTTCAGCTCTGTGTCATTGGTCATTCTACATAAGCAAAGAATGCCATCAGGTATCACAGAGGCAGGAATAAGGATGGTAGCACTGAAGATGCTGCAATGGTACCTTAGACAGCAGCTTCTGTTGTTGACTGTGCTTCTGCCTTAGAACTGCCACTTCTTTCCACAGGGCCTTATTTTCTCTGCAATGCAGAATAAATTAGAAGACAGAGGATGAACAGAGTTTACTTTATATGCTTTAGTTTTACAGCTTTCAAACTTTCACAGTACCTTGCAGGACCAATGGCAACATTCCCTCTGTGGATAACTAACAATCATTTAATCTGATCCACTAGGATAAACTCTGGGTTAAATTAACTCCATTTTCCATCAGGCAGGACCAAACACTCACTAATAAGGACATTCTCATCCTCTGCTGGTCCACCGATAATCTTGATCTGAGGTGTTCTTTCAAAGCCTCAAAGCCTTAGAATAAAGACGATGTTTGGAAACAGGCTGCGTGTAACACAGACCACCTCAGAGCAGTTTCAAAGTTTGTGTTCGAGGGTGTCTTTTGTTTGTTTCGTTGGGATTTTTTTAAAGGAACAGAGGGAGTGGAGTGAAGGTATCTCCTGAACATTGGTTGATACGTGCTTGCACACCAATGATCTGAATGAATTACCAGTGCCTACACAAAAAGGATCTGAGGGAACAGAGATGAGGACGTGCAAAGTCCACTTCCCATTAGAAAGAAAACCGAAGACTCATTCTCCCTCACTGCATCTAACCCTGTTTTGTGCTTAGAAAAGGAAATGCTTTGATTGGCCTAAAACACTACCACAGGTGATGGCAACCAAAATCAAATCTCAAGATAGTCAACAAACTCCCAGTCTTAACCTCTGGTCTGTAACTGAATTATAAAACCAAACAAGATTCAGAATGTCATGTGGGGTGGAATGGGGACTCTTAGAAAAAAAATATAGCTTCACCTGTTTCCAGTTCAAATGAAACCCACATTTAGAGTCAAGCTCCATTAGATATAAGCAACGTTCAATGTACAAGTGCCTCTGAAACAGACGGAGTCTACCTCTTCATGTTAGCCAGTCTGACATCCATGTTGTTCTGCTGCTCTCTCATCTCCTGGACTTCAGAGAGTACTTTGTGCAAATCCTCCGTACAGACCTTGAGATCCTCAGTTCTTACTGCAGATACCTGAAATAGGACCAGGTTACACGTGCTTTACTAGGAACAGTGCCTTGCATACTCCTTTCTACAGGAACAGTGGAGTTAGTCTGTAGAAGAACAGGTACAAACTCCATTAAAAGATTAGGTAACACTATAATTCTTATATATCACAAAACACGGCAATTGCTATAGATGACAGTCCTTAGGACAGTCTACACTGTATGAAAAAACCCCAAGATGTCAATGACAATAAGAGATTAGCACTTTGTATGTGTAGACAGTAGATTCACCATTGTAATTCAGGATAAAAACCTACCACCGATTGAAAATGGCCTTCCCTAGGGGCTTCTCTCTGGCAGGCCTGGTGACAGCTTGCCCTCTAGTGTCAAAGGGTAAGACACCAACCAAAACCAAGACAGACTTGTTAGTGGAGTAAGAACAAGATGATCATATTCCTTTTAGGTGTGGGTAAATCTGCCAGCACAGGAGTAACAAATTTCCATTAAGTTGTTGGGGGGAGGCGGGGGGTGTGGGAAGGCACCTAATTAGATGCATCCTACTCGATTTGAAAACTTGTCCCACACTATCTGAATTGCAGATTCCCATATTGGTGTTTCCTCTATTATCTCTCTGCTCAGTGACATTCCAAAATTGTGGAAACTTGTCTCTGGAAAGTCAGAGTCCAAACTGCTCTTCTGCCCACAGCAGAATCCATGAATGCCACCTCTTCAAAGGATGGTGGAAGAGTCATCAAGAAAGCAAAAAGCTCACTCTCTCCTCCCCACACTTCCACATTCAAAGTTTTCCAATTCCTTTGGCAACTCTCTCTGTGGTGGTGGCACTGATGGCTAACGTACAATCCAGGATTTTGAAAAAGAGAGGCCTGGTGCATGACAGGTCTGAATGACATGTCGAGGTTTTGTGGGCATGATTTGAAAAATCATTTAGCCAAATACTGACCATAATTGAACCAAATGGAGTTGCACCAGATAACCACGGGATGTCCCTTCCAACCTGCAGAATGCTATGATTTCTACTGAATTCCAAGAGGGAGGTGAAAGCACCTGGGATTAACCTGCTGAAGTGCAGATGGGCTCACAGATCCCTTTTTTCCCAAAGGAGAATGGGATGGTCAGAAATGGACCTAGGGTGTTATAAAATAACATCCCATCACTTCACGATGACACGGAACATAATTGTTAGGTAATCACTCCATGAACATAACTAACTACTTTCTTAACATAACCCAGTGTTATGAACGATGGACTGAATGGCCTGACATTCTCAGGCCATTGAATGAATGGAATTGAATTCATTCAATGAATTGAATTGAATTCATTCAATGAATGAATCATTCATTCTCCTTGCTGTCTACGTTTTTAGATGCTTCGCTCTTCGTTGCGGGTAACACCTTGTGCTAAGGTACACGAGCTGTATCCCGAATGAAATTCATGGCCATGTGATTTCTCTTCAGCATACCACCTCTCCATGGGGAAGACACCCAAAAGATGCAGAGAGCAGGTGGGAATTTCAAATGCAGTCAGCCTGCCTCTAAAAAAAAAAAAAAAAAGGGCCAAACTAAAACGTTCTGCCCAAGTGCAAGGAAGTGCTCTCTTCGGTCTCCACCTAGATGATCAGGGTGTCAAGACTGAAGCACACCAGCAGAGCTAACGCTAAAAGGGAGTAAATAAAGGAGGTCCTGCATTCAAGCTTGCATTCCTGGTAGAGGCTTGAAATCCAAGCAAGTACTGAAATACAATCCTTTATAGCAAGTACTGAAACACGACTCCATTCTAGACAGTAAAAGAGCAGGAAAAACTAATGGACGTTTTGCAAAAAATCACCAATATTTCCTGTGCCACAAAGAAGTGTTTCACCAACCTATTCAATAGTTTCCTATGAATGTCCTTGGCACTAACTAGAGCCTTTGTCTTTCCATCTAGAATACTCCACCCAGTGCAACGCTCCTGGGATACATGGTGCCGTACATAACATCATCAGATGACTGCCCCAAAATACCAGAAAGCACGGTGTGCAAGCCAAGACAAGCTAGCGATTACAGCATCTGGGAAGAGCACAGGCCTGAGTCAGAGCAGCAACTGTACAAGAATATTTAATCAATTGTGATTCTGAGCAGAGACAGCTCAGTGAAGAATCAATCAAAACACAATTGTGACTCTCAAGCCTACCCTGTGCTTTTATTAACTTGGGCAATGTAGCTACCACAGTGCGATGTTCTAAAGAAAAGATTCTGCAGTTCAAATGTCAACATGATGTATCATGATACTCTCTTTCCCCAGCAGCCAGGATATTATGGGCTGTAATGTGCCAATAGAGGATAAATATCTGTGCAGAAACAGGTCAGACAAGGCCTGAATGTACAAAAGAAAACTGGAAAGCGCTAATAAAGACGTAGCTTTGTGGTAACATAGTTTTGGAGGAACGGTGTAATTTATGCAAACTCACCCACATGAACTGATTACTGATGCCCTTGCTAATTTTCAATGAGCACCAAATGGGAATGTATTTTCTTTTACTTCTTTCACTTTGTGACACTTTCCGACTCTGCTATGCTGGCACAACTGAATACCACGGTAAGCTGTAATCATGTATATGAACTCTCTGTGGAAAAAGGGCTCCAGTTTGACAGCTATGAGGAATGTGGTCCTACTCCAGTGCACTGCTAAACAACAGCAGGCTGTATTTTGTCTAAGGGCTGGCATGAGGAGGCCAAGCCAAGCATTGAGAAGGGAGTTACAAAGGCTTGCATCATGATGCACAGCCTCGGTTTCCATGGAATTTGTTGGCTGTAAAGTGTTTGAAACCCCCAGACATGCTCTTGATAAGCTACTTTTCATAACAAAGTAAATACATGCTTAGACTGTACCTTGCGCTTGATGTTTTCCAGTAAATGTGCCTTCCCTTGCTTGAAGAAAGGGTGCTGGAACTCAATGACTGAGCTCTTCTCTGCTGTAATCATGCCATTCTCCAGAGCAATCACCTTCCTGAAACCATCTGTGGAGAGGTATTAACGAAGTCATTTCTTTCAGTGCAAAGCTGACTGTTACAACACATAGCTAAAGAAAATCCCAAGGCTACTGAAATACCTACAGCACTACAGTTACTGGGAGCAGAAACTACGAAAACCAGCCAAAGCAGCTTTTCTTGCTCAGTGCTCAACGGTTTGACTGCTCTGAGCTTCACAGCTAGAGAACACACAATACCATCAAATGGCCTGGCAGGCTGTACAAACAGCACACGTGGCAGAGGCCAGCTAGGGTCCGCAAGCAAGACAGTGATGTCCAAATAATCAGAGAAGTTAGTTAGAAACGAGATTTATAAGGACATCTTGAATAAAATCTTGTCCCAGTGGAAGCAGCGGAGCAGCGCACCTTCCCTTGCATGCCTATAATGCCAGGCAGCTACATATCAAAACAAATGCTGTCATGTACCACCAGGGCCGACAGAATTAAGCAAGGAAGAGAAATTAGTTCTCAGCCTGTGCAGACACGTGCACGCAGAGTACTTCCTTCACACCAGACTGCCTGCATGAAATAAGACATTGCCAGCTCTATTTGCCAGCTCTACTTCCATCGCTGCTTGAAGTACCACAGGGTAGACGCAAAATACAGTTGACGGACCAATCCATATCTCTCCTCGTTCAGGTTTTTAACATCGTTAATGTATTCCAGTTTCACTGCGCCCCAACAGCGCTGTCATTAGAAAACTTTACTCAAAGCTGGGATAGGTCCAGCAGGAAAAGGAGGCTGCCATCACATTGCATATCTTTATAGGAATATTTGCATTTTAGCATTCACCCTTGCTACAAAGCAACCGACATTCGTTTGTCTGCATTGTCCTTTGACACTCAAGTGAAGGAGTCTCAACACTTGACACAAACAGCAGCACCCACCCTGTGTCAACAGGCTAAGCGTACGTTTTCTCTCTCCTGTCTGACAAAATGTAAATAGGCATCAGCTAGAGAGACCAGGCCAATCTACCGGGCAAGGACAGAGTTCCTCCCCCTTACTCCGAAAGGAAATTCTAAATAAGGCGGCCATCTTCTGTGTAGTTTGTACCTTCCCTCAGCCCATAAGCTATCTGCTGCAAAACAACTGTTTCTGCTGTGTTGCAGCCCCACACATCGTGCCGTATCTTTGAATTACCACCTCACTCCAGCTTCTTTGCCGGTACAAGTTGTACATCTGTTATACAATGGATGGTACGTGATGCTCACAAGTTGAGCACAGAGAACATGAGAAACTTAGTCCAGCTCAATCCACCGGCGTGACTAATCTTGTTTCAACACAGCAACGCAGGCAGCGGCATGATCTAGGCAATTTTTTTCATATACTAGATGCATAGTGTAGATAGGGCCTTTGTTCCTCTAGGGACACATGAGTTTGCTGTTACCATTGCTATTAACGCTGCCACTGGAGCCCCGTGAACTCTACCCCAGCTTTAGGTACCAAACAATATTTTTACGGTTGTTGCTTAAAAGGACTCAGAGCTGAAAGACAGAAAACAAAGACTAAGCCGAGCTCTACTGTTATTCTTCTCTTTTGCAAAGCAAACTCAAGAGCAGAATTCAGGTTTTCAGGGACGAAACACCTGCCAAGTCAATTGGTTTGTTTAAAGAAATTCAAACTGACGTCAAGTAGCAACGGACTCGGCAGAAAGAATACATGAGAAGAGCTGATGCTTACACATGTTAAGCTGTCGTATGAAGCTGGAGATATTGTTGTGTTTGAAGTACTTGGGGAGTAGCTCCTTGGCAAACCTCTGCTCATCCAGAATGCAAAAGTTCTCACCATTCTAGGAAACAAGCAGAAGTAACAGTTCAAGAACAAGCACAATTTTTCTAAGGTGTTGCTCATAAGCCAAGACCACAAATCACCAGAGAGAGTTCCTGCAACGGGGAAGGCAGAACACCTAGCAAGGGGAACTGTCTGTGCGAGCACTTCTGAGCATTTGGGGCTGTACTAAAAAGTCTGAATCCAAAAAGACGGGACACATCTATTGAGTGGGGGATTTTTTTTAAAGCCCTGAGGTTTTGCTCTTAACCCAAAGAAAAATCGTTCCAAAACCCCAGGTATCTGGGGCTCTCTTTGTCCACAGGAAACGTTCGATATTGCTCAAGCGCACAGGAATTCGTGCCACTAGAGGGCTTTTATCTCCCTCGACCAGAGCTTGCCCAGCTCCTGACGAGATTCTTCCATTGTGTGCACTGTGTCACCACTAAAAATAACCAAGTAACATTGCAGAGTTACTAAAAGTTCAGACAACCCAACCCAGCGGTGGAGAAGGGTAACTGTGGCACGGGCAGTTTCACATTCGTCACATTCTCAAGCTCAAACTTCCTGAAAGCGGGCAGGTCTGCGTGTCGTTTTTTATGCGGTTCACAAAGAGAACAAAAAAAATTAGGTTTCTCTCCATCTTCGCCTTTGTAAAGGGCAAACCTCTGAAAGAAGTGGAGAAAATCTTACGGATTTAAAAATGACAGGGGGGCAAAAATAAACGCCGTGCTTGTGTCAGATGGCTTACGAGCCTGCGTGCGTCCGTAACGCCCCAGGCCTGCAGGCGGGCGGGACAAGGCCGATCTTGCTCCCCTCGGGAAGGGAAAGGGAAAAGGTAATTACTTCGTAACGCGGGTTTCCCAGCGAGCGTCACCGCTTCGAGCCAGTTACGCGCAGTCTGAGGCGAAACCCAGGGCTGCGCAACGCCGGGGCGCGCGGGGCTGCCGCGCGTGCTCCCGCTGACGGCGCAGGCGGCCCCGCGCCCTCCCC